CAAAAAAGGCAACAATGTTCAATGATAAGTCAAATAAGCTTTAGGGTGTAAGCTCTATATTACATATGATTATTTATTTAATCAATTTCGATTAATTCGAACAATTTTATTTCCTTTCAAAATTGAGTTACACCTGAGGAATCCGTTGCAATTTTTGCTCTAAAAATTAGTTGCATTGGTCCAATTTTCAATGATAAGTTATTAAAAAATAATAATCCTAAATTCACTATTAGTAATAGAATAATATTTAGAATCATTGCATTTCCGCGAATGATATGTGGGATAATGAAATGTTTTCAACTTTCGTATTTTATATTTATACAAATGTCGATTATTGTTTACACAGTTTTATATAGAAGAATCTTTATATGATTAGGCCAGCTTGGGGTAAATCAACGGAATAACATTGGACACACAGAATTGAAATTTTGTTTATAGTCTACAAAATAATGAATTCATTTAAACCGCTTGATGATCAAGTAAGTGGTTCCTGAGCCAATCTGTTTCAGAAACTCTTTCAAATATTTATTTGAATGTTAAATAATATTCTTCTTCGATTATCGATACCGTTATTTATTCTCTGTATAATATTCACATTTATGCCGCGTCTTATTATCACGGCTTAAACAATCAAACCAGGGTATACGTAACTAAATTTTAATGACTAAGATACAACCATCTTAATTAAACAACTAAGGTATGATACAGAACTAATCAAGTTGATTCAATTACTCATAGGATATTCGATAAAGATAAAAGAAGTATTATTTATTTTTAGAATATATTATTTTTAATGAAGCAGTATATTCTTTTTCACCTAGTACAAAGTTAAACAAGTGTTCAATATTGAGTATGAAACCTGGATAATCTACTTTAATAGTTACACACATACAATTTATTTATTTTTTGTAAACCACTGAAACGTATTTTTATTTTCTGTTCTGAAATTATTAAAAATTATTTTATATAATATAATATTTGTATTCAATAATAAAATAAAAATCGAATAATTATTTTTATAAATTAAATTGGTATCTTATTTAAATCAAATTTTACTATTTATCTGCTAACTTTTGTTTACTTTTCACCATCACTGATATGATCGAATAACACATATGCATAACCTAAAAACAATATATAAAAAATTAAATAAATAATATGTATAACAACTCCTGGATAAGACTCCGCAGCGATCAGGGATGAGTGAATGGTATTACTGTACTAGTTTTTTAAATTTAAAATTAATGTATCATTAATCTGGAAAAAGTCGATTCTGAATTAAATAGCTTGGATGGATTAGTTTCTATTTTTAAATATTATTGATGTAAATGATTTATTTTTCATGAAAGTCATAATATTAATAGTACAACTTTACTTATTAAAAAAATTTGTTTTACTATTATATCAATTATCTTTAGAAATAAAAACTTATCCTTCCAACTTCTTTCGTTCAAAATAGTTTTTTTGAGACAATGATACATTGGTTTCAAGTTAAAATACCGATACAGTGATACTCATGCGTTTAAAACACCCAACTTTGGAGTATCACGGAATATAAGAATTTTACTCTTTTTATGCGCCGTATTTACTAATTTTGTGTGTGTTATATTTGTACTCCCCTCCCTTCGAAAAATTAATTAATTTTTTTAATACATTTTTTGTTATAATTCTTTATTTAGCCTTAACTTATTAACTATGCAAATAATGTTACTAAATATTTTAAATTTTTATTAAAATATAGGTATTATTACTTATTATTTAATATTAATAATATTTATTATTATAATATTACACCGTACTTCAACGGTACCTGGTCACCCTCCTAAATTGATCAATATTTTGTTTCCATTGCTCTCCTCCTCTTAAATACAACTCTGATTGTGCTGCAGCACTTCTGATATTATAAAACCAAAGGCAGGGTCAAAATATAATATTATTTAAATTAAATATCCAACGTTTTTATAAAATAGATTAATGTGAATAAAGCTGATTAATCTATTTTATAAATAGATATCCTATTATCCATTGTATAAAAAAACTGATGACAGATACTTATTGCAGAAAAGCTATATAACCGACATAATTCAATAAAGATATCATTGACAGGACTAAATTAAATATTAAAAATGACGAAAAAAATAAACATCATACACTAGCAAACATTTTCAAATCAACTATTTTCTTGTCCGATATTTTCAAAATTAATTTTTCCGCACTGTTCATTTGCATCGTAAGAAAAATCAACTTTTTAAATTTAATGCTCATTTCCATCCAGTTCGAACTGTATAATGCAACATTTATGTCAGATTTCTGGAAAAAAATATCAAATTAACTATATATATTTTAATTTTAGATTATTACATTTAATTATTTTCAATGCATTTAATAACATATTTTTGAAAATAAGACTTATACCTAATGTATAGCTTCTTCACTTACTTGTTCATTTATCTTAGTGAATAAGAAACATACAATAAACAAATGAAAAATGTAAATTAATACTGCAATAAATAGTTTTAGCACAAGTGGTGATCTAAAAGAAAGACCTTCCATAAGACCCTGAAAATTATTGTTTCAAATTAACTCTATATTTATTATTAATTATCACATAACACGAATCATTACCACTATTATTACGAATGACTGGAACACTAGTACACTGGATTCAACCACTATTCTAATAAGAATCATGGGTCTAAATATTTTATACAGTTCCCTCATCTTTCTGAAATCATAATAACAGTATATTTGTTAACAAAATTTAATATTAACCTAACTTTACACGTACCTTGTTTTTTATAAGACAGAATAGAACATAAAATAAAAACAGAACATGAAATAAATACTCACTGGATAACTCTCTGATGGTCTTGAATAATAAGCTGTAAGCTTTTAACTGGATTTGATTCGTTATCAGTAACTGTTTTTCTATTACCTTATAAATAACGAAAAAAAATTACGTTATATTATATTTATAATTTATTACGTCTAAATAGCTATATTATTGTAACACACATTTTATTGTTCATACACTACTACAACACAAAGCACTACTTATATAACTACAATAACTGTAGTTATATTTCTAATAATTAGAATACTGCTGTATATAAAATATTTAATTTTTCGGATACATAATATGTCTTTATGGTGTATATTATATTCAACATAATGAAATGTCTTCAGTTGTGTTCCAACTCTTCGTAACAATTTCATTAATCTTCAGAAGACTACATTGATCATTGTTTTTTTACACACGTTCACAGTAACGAAGCATTAAATACATCCTTAGGAGATTGAACTTGTGATGAAATGAGCATAATAATGTATCCGAACGAAATAATATTAATGTGCCAATCCGTAAAAATTTCGACAAAATGCATACATTACACATTTTCATTATTTTGGACGTTGATTTTTTACTTTTATTTCGATTATTAATACGTGTTAGTTTGGAACGACGACTCCAAAAACCGCACATTTTTGATAAAATATAGGAAAAAATAGCACACTTTTGGTTGGTGAAAACCACACACATTTAATAGGTGAAAACCGCACACATTTTTAAATTCTTGTAATCAAAAACCACACATTTTATAGTGATAATGATAATTTATTATTTATTATTTATACTACATATTTATTCAAAAACGATTTATTGAAATACAATGTATATAGGAATTGAAAAATTTAAAAAAATATACATAATTGTTTGTGGCTAAAATTTTTTGTCGACGTTTTTTCTAAAAATTAAAATATGAATAAAAAAAATTAAAAATTTCCCCCTTTATTACTATCTTCTTCTTTTTTTTCTTAAGGTTTATTGGGTCTTACAGACCCATCTCACAACCATTATTACTATCAATAGTTTTAAAATCCATTTATAAAAACACTTTTTTTCATAATATATATATAGGTATAAATGTATATAAACATTACGTTATATCATGCATTTCGGTCGAAAAATGTACTGGTTATTTTTCGAGCGCATCAACGTGCGATAAGATAAACTTTTGAATGTAACAATTAACTTTAAAATTATATATTTAACATTCGTATATATAAAATACATTATTGTTAATACATTATATAGTGAGGTTTTTACCCACTATAAGTGTGCGGTATTTTGCTGTACAATATACTTACCTAGCAATCCATAAATTGTGCGGTTTTTGTCTACCAACCTTTTTGGGGTTGGAAATCAAATGTGTGCGGTTTTTGAATGCAACCGTTTGGAGTATACCTTCATAGTCCATAGACGAGGAATGATAACCAATTGATTTGTACGCCATATTGATGGTTTTCAATTGAATGAAGATCGTCATGAATAATGGAACAATGAAAATGTCGAACAAAATCAAAGCGTATAAGTTGTACAGCATTAAGGTACATTCCATGACGTAGAACTGGATGAAATTGTTGTTGTAAAATTCAATAGATACCGGGAACAAAATATTGAACACGTTTGAATGATACAACGCGCCGTCCTCATACTGTTTATCGCCCCCGAGCAAGTAGTCGTTTATCAATAACGGCGATATTATCCAAAAACCACATAAACCACCCCATAACATGGCCAAAAAGTTTGTGAAACGTATGCACCAAGCCCTTCCCGACCGAAGTATATCCGTCTGGTACCAGCCGTACGACAAGAAAACGATCGACGTCAAGTCCATGCAACTCCAAATGGCATCGGAATATCGGATTAAGTAATACATCTTATACGAGTTATAAGTCATCACAATGCTTATCATCGAATACTGTACCGCGTTGTAAAAATCGTCCAAACAACAATACACGCTCCATCCAGTTCCAACCACCGCGATTGCGTTGATAAATATAAATACGAAATTAATTATTTGATAAAAATTGTAACCATAGATCTTGATAGCCTTGGGATTAAATATTCCAAAAATTTTTGTGATTTTCAATAATCGTATGTTTATTATACTATTTTTCTCTTCATAAGTTTTCATATTATTGTTCATGATTTATCGGTTTTATTAAAAACGTACCAAATATTTATATATATATATTGAAATTTAAAAATCAAAACTTTTACTTATAGCAAAATGTATGCAACAACATTTTTGATTATTAAACTTATTCAAATGCTGACATTAAATAATCATTTCTTTCTTGTAAATATTATGTTTTTTACTACATTTTAATCATCACGAATTCGAATTCAGTTATTTATTTATGTTAATTAGTATTAAAATATTTTTGTAATACAATGTTTTCTCTACAAATTTAAATTATTTGAAAACCACGAATACTTTTTTTATAATATTCAGAGAGAAAAACTACGATCCTGTACAAACTATATTACTTCTTACGCGGACGGAATACTAAAGTGTACTAAAATGGGTATTTTTTTTCATAAACAAACAATCAACATTTATTTTGTGTGACATACGATAACGTAAAACTATATTATCTAGTTTAAAATACCAAACTATACTTATCGATCAAATTATTAATGATGGGCGTTCAAGAAATATACCTACCTACATTTATAATTTTTCTTAATAACAAACATTTCATTATTAATTTCAATCCCACCAATTTCCGAAAAACTCATACAACTATTAAAATATATTAAATATTCCAATTTTAAAATATAACTCAACATTATTAATAATAATTAGGTAGAAACAATTATTTCACCGATATTCTTGAGGATCGCCGATGGCAAACATTTACAATGTACACTCAAATATTCTGATAATTCTATTATATAATAATCGTACATATTTATGTTATTTGATATAAAATTTTACCAAATCCTATATAAACGTAATTATTATAATTTTGTTAATTTGACCGAAATTTATACGAATGTCTGTATTTGTTCCAACTGATCCTAAGAAATATTTTCAAGTAAGGATTTGTTCGATTAAAAACGTTAAAAAATTGAAAATAATCAAACAGCTGTTACTGTTGTTGCTAAAATTTCGTTTGATTATATTATAGTACTTTTGGTCATACCATTTTTATGCTAACCTTCCTGACACAGCTTGACATTGAACGCACCTAAGTTAGTGAACAGACTGCATAGTGCGTAGGTGCTACCGTCATATAGTTTCCACAGTTAGTATACGTTTCATGAATTAAACTCACACCAAGGTCACAATTGGATTCCAATCTTTGCCGTGTAGAGACGACCCAGTAACTAAATCAACGAAAATTATAATATTTATGCGATTTGTAACTACACGCTATAGCTTTACGACGACCCATAATCAGGCGTGAATCGCACCTTTTATTTTATGGAATAAACTACCGAAATCAATAAAGGTATGATATAATAGGATATTTATACCCTTTCGAAAAAATTGAATAAATAATAAGTAACCACTAATTTTATGTTGTATCATTATTGCAACTTCGCTGATATTAGAACTGCTAATCAATTTAATTGCTAAATGCTAATTTCTCTCTGACTTTTAACTCGGTGAAATTGATTCTTGTATACGATAATATTATGATTTATATCTCGAATACGATTCAAATGTTCTCCATGCGGAGAGAATCCACTTTACCTTTCGTCTTCTCAAATTCTTCGTTAACCAACAATTAAACGCCCCTTAAGTTCGTATCGTGCGTCTTGCTTATCGATATATACACGAATCTTTTGTATAAATCGTGGACAAACGGATTTCTCTGTTTCGCTTTGCACAGTTCAAATCGAAGCACCTACTAGTAATAAATATTTTACACGATCACGGCCATAAACGTATAGTGATATATTATAATATGCTTCAGTGGGTTCCTTAATGTATTACAAACATATACCTAGTATCACTTATTTTGTGTATTAGCTATCACATACCATTTATTACAGATATTTTATTCTAAAATCGTATATAAATTAACAATACCGCCAACATTAATACCTTAAAAACTTTTACAGTTGAATATTCTTGACGAGCGATCATTCAAAACGAATTTGTTTCCGTCAAATGTCAAGTCAATACCTAAAAAATAAACAATATTCAATTACGAGAAAGAATATAAAATAAATATCGTCTTTGAGTGAGTGCTGCTCTAATAAAAAATTATAAGTTTAAAACATGTTTGTGCCACTTTATACTCCCACCGTTTGAATATATAATTATAATTTGAATTTTTTTTTTTTTTTATTTACAAAACTGTATTAATACATTATAAACTTCAAATATTCAATAATAAACGTGTACATATCAATTGTATTGTTTAAGGGAAAAATAACCAAGTCTTAAACTTGTTCGTATAATAATACTATACACGAGTATACGTGTACGTTTTTTCTCCTCATTACCGATCTCATCGCCTGATTTGTTAAAACATAGTCATTATTAGTAAATGCATTTATACTATTTATACACAGCATAACAATCGGTCAGCAATTTTCACGTGTTATAAAAAATGTTTTTTCCATTTCTACATTAACAGCACTGTAAATACGCCGCAGAAATAACTTAATGCGCATTATAATATGATCCGTTCGCTTGTGGATTAACAAACGTGTTTACAGTGTTTATTATACAGTTCCGATGTGCTATTACTTCGGTGGACCAAAAGAATCGTTAAAATAAAGTGAAACGTCTTCAGATAATATAAATAAAAAATCATGTATAATCCAACACTTTTGGCAGCTCTAGTTTATATTTCGGGGTATTGAGACTCGTCCAATTGTAAATTGAATCGAATCGCAATAGCACGGAATCGCTCACATTGCCTAACTAGCTGTTTATCCATCAGGAGTCTTTGACTGAAATAATTAATGTTAGTCTAGGTAAGAATAAAGAACATCTGCACAGATTCATTTAATTCGAATGGTTTTTATCTGAGTAACATAATTAGAATGTTAATATTGTTATTATTTGTTTTTAAAATACCTGGATTTAATTTTCACTTATTTATATGTATATATGTGTGTCATAACTTGAAATTCGTAAGAACAGAACTTAATAATTCACTGTGTACTGCACATATACATACTACTTAATAAATATTAAAATAAAAATTTATATTTATTTCCTAACATCAAACATTTTTTATTCTTCATAAAGTTAGAAAACATTGTATGAAAAAATTCAATAAATTATACATATAAAAAATGTTTACAAAGCTTGACAACTTGAATAAAGGGTTTCCTGTAACACTACTTCATAAAGTTAAAAAAAAAAATGTCTTTTGATTGCCTACGAACGGAAAATATATTAAAACGATTGCCCTTATGGCTGATACTTTAAAAATACATTTTAATATCATAAAGTTTCCTATAGAGCAGTATATTTCAAAACATTGTAAAATATTATATAACATATAACTAAAACTAGAAAAAAATACCATAAACTATAAAAATAATCGTATTTTGTTAAGATTCAGGTCATTATAATATCCACCCTTTAATGAAACTTTTAAAAGCCATCTGCTATGATTATTTTTCAGACCGATGAACATTTTTTTAATAGCTTCTTTAAATTGAACAATCTAAGCCTAAACCACTAAAGCTAAATAAAATTAATGTAACGGATTTTCATTTTATCATATAATATACATACGATTTATGATTGGTTTAATTTTAGTATAACATTTGATCGATAAATTTTGTTTAATAGATTTCAAAATGTTACAAGAAACGTTTTAAACTCTAGACAATTTTTTTTTTTTATTTCATCAATGTTCTTATATTAATGAAATATAATATTCAGAACCAAAATAAATCTTTGAAATAGCATATACATGCACAATAATTCATAGAAAATGTCCGTGTGTTTTAGTACAAATATTTCAATAAGCAACAAATAATACCATAACCTATTTTTCGATTGAATACAGAAATGTATTTCAGTCGATTTAAATATGAAAAAATAATAGACGAAAAACAATTTATGCTACTAGTAGCATGACAAATAGCTTGTTTGGATTTTTTTTTTTCTAACTATATGTTTTGACGGCAAGTGAACAAACAACCATACTGTAAAATAATAAATAATTTTTAAAATTATTCGGATCAACATATCGTATCAAAACACTATACGCTTAGATATTTATGAAAATATAACAGTATAATATAAAAACTCGAAATTTGTTGTTCATATTTTATTAATTTGCATTTTACAAGCATCGCAAATTAGTTAATCATCGATGATCTACATATTATCATGTTATACTAATATATTACATGCATCAGACGTATTTTATCCATGTACCCGTGTTCCCGATAAACTGTGCCGCCTTGAATTACATCGTATACAAAGTGTAGCAGGCACACACGACATTACAAATCAGACTTTGAAATTGCCAGTGATTTTTTTTTATTTTTATGTAGGTCTTGCGTTTAATAACACTCGCGCAGAAACTGTTCACATCAGACGTCTTGCAGATCCGTGGGTGAGTGCGTGTGAGTGTGTGTGTGTGTGTGTATGTGTATGTGTGTGTGTGTGTGTGTGGTCGAACGGGAGATCCAAATACGGAATCATACCGGATCGTATTCGACGCTGTCGTTCAACCATCTTTCCGGTCGAATTCTTTCGAGATACACATGTATAGGTAGTATACCCATGCGCTGTTATATGTCTTCTCGTTCTCACTATCACCGGGTTTGCTAACTAATTCTGTTTCAGCACCATTATTTTATAATTTATTTATCGTTTTTTGCATCGATAGAACTCTAAACGTGCATATCCAGATGGTATACATTACGCGCAAGTCTTCATATATTATTATTTTCCGGAAAGTGTCCCACCGATATCGAATTCGTTTTTCGCGGTATACCACGAGTGTAAAAAGAGACAATACATAAAAATATGTTTAGGTAATTAATGTCGCTTATTAGTTCGTCCTCGAGACCATTACGCATATTTACCAACTTTCGATTTGGCCTTGAAAGGAAAAAAAATTAAAACCATCATTTTCGATATTCAGAAGAAGAAAAAAACACCAACCAGTTTCGCTCTATAATTATTATAGAGAAACATATACGCAATGGTATTATATTATTATCGCCTAATATCTCTCGCCATCACGTCGCGTGTGTTATGACTTTATGTACTGCAATTAATATATCGGTCTACGCTCGCGCCCTAACCTTGATTGTATTCCCGCATGACGGTGACCAAGTGAAAGCCCGCAGGACAATTTCATCCTGACGAAGTGACGGCCGTTGGTACATAGCGGCGGCGACGAACAAGGGACAAAAAAATCATCGGGGAACAAGATTCGTATGGCCGTGGACCATCATGGCGAGAGAGGAAGAAAAATATACGTACGCACACCCGTTTGTTTGTTGATGGAGATATGGAGTGGGTGTGGTGGTGGCGGTGTGGTAGAGAGGATACCGAATATACCGCCCGTGTGTGTGTGTGTGTGTTTTTTTCTTTCTCAAGGTTTTCATGGCCCACGTATGACTATTACATTATTATTATTATTATTATTATTGTAGTTCACATAACGAAGAAAGACGTCCTATATAACATTATATCAAATTGTAGATACATACGATGACTTTGTAACAGTAAACCGTGCAGCGCCTAAAATGTTAAAATGTTCGTACCGAGATTAAAATAAAAATGTGGTCCATCGCGACGGTTAAATATTCTAAAAGCCGATGGTTTATTTTTATTTATCTGTCGATTATTTTCGCCAACGCGAGAACGGGTTTTCGCACGTCCGACGAATACGGTTTTACCGCGAACACGGTTTGCAAGGATGCGAAATTCGTGCCGCGAAAATCGTTCGCCGTAGGGCTGACGGTTCGAGAGCCCGGCGGTACGAAGACACACGCGCGAACCGGAACGACCGAGTGTTCGGCATCGCAGCGCGACGACCAAAACGAACGGGATGAATACAACCGAAAACCGAGCGCTAACGAAACAACACGCACGCGGTGTTCACCGGAGAGGTAGGTCCGGTCGTCGGTTTATTATTATTTTTTTTTTCTTATTCTCTTCGCAAAACGGTCAAGTCTATTTATGGGCCGCAAGGTTGGACGCGCGGCACGATCGGCGCGCGCGACCGCCGCGGCAGCGGACGGAGCGGTCGCGCAGTCGCTTGCACAGTTGCGTTTCGAGCGGCTATCGAGATCGACGCGCGCCACGCCACACGCCTCGCGGTCGACGACTACCGGTGCGGTACACCCGAACGGCCCCAAACGGTGAAATCGTTTTTCCGCGTGAACGCGAAACGTAACGGACGTCCGCGCGCGCGTTCTACGACTCGTCCGAACAGTATTACGGTTTACGGGTTGGTGCGCGCGACGGGAAATCCGTCACGAAGGGGTGCGATCGCGTTCCGCCCGTCCGTCCACCGACCCCCGAAGGTTCTCGACCGACGTCCTCCGACCGTCACCGGATCATGGGCCGCAGGTTCCCGCTGCTCGCTTCGTGTCTGGGCTGTCCGCTCAAGACCGGAGCCATCGTCAGCGGCGTCTACGGAATAGTAAATAATCAACTCGTTTTCTATAAAAAAAAAAAAAAAAAAAAAAAAACCCACCACCTAAACCGACAGCTACCGTTGGTTTATCTGTTGCGCGGCGGCATATCCTTCGAAACGTCCGTCGCCCTCCCGACGTTGCATTCCTCTCCGGGAAAACCGTCCGTTTTGAGACGCCCCTGTACAGTGACGTACATACAGCGCAGTTGTTTCGGACGCGCTTGTGGTTTTTTTTTTTTTTTTTTTTTCACGCACGCCTCACCGCGTTCATTATTAACCGTCACCCGTCGTAATCGCTGAAAGTCGGTAACGCCGTTTAAGCGACGCCTAAAGTTCAAGGGCACCACTAAAATTATTTATAAATAAACTCCATTATTATGACATGTATACCTATTAGTCGTTTTATTAAAAGGGCGCCGCCGACAGCAGCAGTGACGGTAACCGTAATATGTGCTGTGACCGTGGTTCGAGCTCGTTCCAGTTAACAGAAAAATAGTTTTTATGACCTAGTTAACAAAAACAATGTTACCGCGATGTGATTCCTTCACTATTAATAATATATCTAAAATTAAAATAACGGAAGGTTCGGACGTTTTTAACTATTGTATACATTATTTCAATTAATATCGTTTTCATTTCGTTGACCGGAAAACGTAAAACATTATAATCCACTCTATCGATTATAAAAACATAACCTTAATTCCGATAAACTATAATTAAGGTTAATTGATCCAATATCTGCAGAATTGTATGTACGATAGTGTATAATAATTAATGCACTTTTAATATTGTTTAAATTTCGTGTTACTAACGCATAATGGAGACTGCACCCTTCCAGTACACCTTTATGTTACATAACAATTACTGGTTCAACAAATAAATGATTTTTACCAAAAAGTTGTGTTACTCGTGTACGCATACTTGTCTTATTTATTCAATTTTCATCGTTTTATAATTCATTGTTGTTGGGAAACGAATACTGGCGGATAATCATCAATTTATGATGCAGTATAATATATAGCGTTTTCTAGATTTATTGCGCGTTTCTATTGAGTACGATTAGTTGGGTGTAACCTCCTCATGGTCACGTATTTATAATATAATAAATCTGTAAAATGTAGGGTTTTCAATATTAGTATACCTTAAGCATTATCATGAAATTAAAAATGGCAACTGCAAACACAATACTAAATAACTTCCATACCATCATTACATATAAAATAAAAGACAGAAAATAAATGTTTATTAATTAATTACGTGTTAACATGCACCGGTATTCGATTATCTTAACCGTAATCAAAATATGTTGGCTAAAATAAATATAATATATTACCTAATTGTTTTCATAGTTTTAACTCAGGTATCAGTTTATGCCATTAAATTAATATTCATAATACATTATCTATAATGTAATGCATCAGTTTGAAGTTCATTTTCGCTCAATTTTATACATTAATTATACATTTAATTCAAATATTATAGGTTTTGAACAATTTTATTGGATAGTTTGTTTTAAAATAGAAATTTAACTACACGGAATCGTTTTTATAAACGATATCGCTCATTTGAAATTTTTTTATGCCTTGTATTTTGATTTATATGAAAAGTTCATACTAAAATAGTTTTACAAACACCATATTAAATACAAAATAATAATAATAATTTACGTAATAGCTAGTTGTTAATAGCCATTGGTTATTGTTTACTGTAAAATAGTAGACTCCCATAAGCTATAATTAAAAAATATTACATAGTTTTAGTGACATATTTATTATGTATTATGTGTTCTACACATCATAGAATTTGACAGCTTTTAAATCGTTTTTATTGTTGTAGTGTAGTGTCAATAAAGAGGAAAAGAAAAGTATATAACTAGTATGGAAACAAAGCAACCATTTAAAATACTTTTAGTAAATAGTATGGGTTAACACTCCATACGTTTTGGTTGGATCGAAATCAGTTTTACAATAAATTCGTACATAATGGGTGCATTATTATTATTATTTATTTACATACTTCTTCAAAACGATAATGGCCTCCACTGAACAGGCTCGTGTTTGAACCTATGAATTAACTATTTATTTTTCATTATTATGTATATTCATTTAAACACAATTTATACTGTAACAATTGAAACAAATATACAGATTAAAAATTACGAAATTAAACTATCTAAATATACAAAATTGGTGAGAAACATAATTATAAAACGGGATATAACTGGTTAAATATAAACCTTATATTTGAAGGAACGAGAAAATAAAAAATCGACACAAATAGTTTACACACACTGCACATTTTAATGATTGCACTAATTATTCTGTATTCGGTAATCATTAGCGGTAGTTCCAATCAATGCCAAGCCGCTGCATTTTAATTTTGTCGAAAATATTACCAAAACTCGTACGTGTCGGCTTGATTCATACTGTTATAACACGTACCTAATGTAGATGCGTGGTCCGAAAAACATCAGACCCGGGTAATATAGTACGTGATTGTATTATACGACGATAAATGTTGACTATTTATTTTGGTATACAATAAACGTAAAATTGTTAACATCTTAAAGTCGTTGTGTTTCGATGAAAACGCACGTGCACTTTACAACTACTGCAATTATGAACGATAAACGTAGAGCTTAAAATCGCGCTTCTGTTAAGCTTTTAAATAGACCTCGATTGAATATTGGCCGCGAACCAACGAACGTTTCGAACAACTGAAACGCGCGTCAATATATTATATTATCGTTTACATCGTGATTCGTAATTGTTGCTGATGTAAAAGGGAAAAATTATACAAAAAAAAAAAATCAAAAACTCGTGGCACATTTCTTACAAGAAATTGTACGAACACTTGACTGCGCATAAAATAAACTGTATTTTTTCAACTCTAAGCAGTTTTTTCCATCACAAAAAAATATTTGGTTCGTTAATGTTCAATAATATGATAAACTTTAAGCGATATACGTGATGCTGTTAAAATTTACTTGTTTTTACATACTGCGAACATTATTTTATGGTAGAGGCGTAATCATATATAAACAGCAATAATTTATTTTATTTTATTTATTTTTTAAATACAATTTTTCTAGAAAAGTTACGTTATTTTTATAGCCTACATTAACTAATAGGTAATACAGAATATTTTAAAGCACTCATCGGTGATAAAATTATGTCACTATTTTCGTCACACGTTAACTCGTTCGATCGATTTCGACACCTAAAATACTTGACTACGTGAGAACATCCCTTAAACGTTTACAATTAGTCATACAATAATGAAGACGGGAAGGAAGAACCTTTTAGTTTTAAACTCTTCGAGTGACTTTCAAAATGTACGTGCATCATTACTTTATATTCGTTAGAATACGTCGTCTTCAAATGACATTTAGTAAACTTTTTCAATTTCGTGATTAAAACCCTAAAGACGCTTTAAATTATGCTTTCAAACTGTATTAAAAGCTATAAGACGCTGATGGTTGTATACGAGTCATAATATAACGCTATAGCTTATGACATTAACATTAGGTTAACATACTTTATTATTATTAAAAAACAATTTATAACTTTTCCCACTTAAAAATGTCAAACGAACCGTTTAAAACATCAACAAATAGTATTATGTACATACCTATATTACTTGCGAAAAATATTGTATGTTCATAATTTGTATTTAATGGCCCATATTACAGACATAAATCTAATATAATATATTAATTTAAATTTTAAAATAAATATTTTTTTACTGTTAATAAAATTTGATCATATAGTAAAAACACCATAATGAAAATCGGCTTATCTGCGCAGTGAATATAACAAAATTGTTGGGAATTAAATGTTTACTTATATCTACTTGTAAATAATAAGACTTCAGGTACAGACTTCAGGAAAACGAATTCTGGGAACCATATATACTAATTATAAACTTATTAGCAATAATTGTCAAGAAGCAGAGAGGCATCGATCACAAGTGCCCCCCCCTGAATTTTTTATGAGGACGCCTTTGCATTTACATTATAAATATATTTATTTTTATATAATATGTATAAACTTAATAAAATCAAAACCTAAACGGAATAAATGCATCGTCCGTACTTAGCATGGTAAAATTTTTAATATTGTGTTAAGAAAGCAGACGTTATTTAGGTACATCAAAATATTTAAGGACTTTTATTTTTAATATATATAGCTTAATAACTATTTATAGTTCTACTACTTATGATTAATAATGTTAATTAGTTTTTTTTAAATCAATACATGGCATATTGAAAGTTAGTAATGTTTATTTTATGTTTTTTATTAATATTTTGTAGACAATTTGTCTATGTACTTGCCATAAAATAATAACTGTTAATAATTCCATTTAAATTATTATTTAAAAATAATTATTTAAAGCAAGTCAAAACATGGGCTTAATAGTTGACAGGGAGAAGACAAAATACATGGTTATGTCAAGGCAAGTAACCCCGAAGAGCAATCTCAAGGTATATGGATATTCTTTCAAACAAGTAAAAGAGTTTAAATATCTAGTAGTGAACATTAATGAGAAAAATAACATGCATGATGAAATAAAAACCAAACTGATGATGGCTAGCAAAATATATTACGCAATGAAAGAGATGTTCATATCGAAGTTACTGTCACGACAACTGTCAGGAAAGGTTATACATAACCTATTTGCGACCAATAGCGACGTATGCATGCGAGACGTGGGCCAGCACAAAGGGTGATAAGGAAAAACTAGTCATCTTCGAAGGGAGAATACTAAGGAGAATTTATGGTCCCGTGTTTAATGTAGAATTAGGAGTTTTCGAAAGAAGGAAAAACGAAGATTTACAAACACTCTATAACAAACCGAACATTTGCAAATTTCTTAGTCACAAAAGACTAGAATGGGCAGGACACGTATGGCGTGCAGAAGGATGTCTTATAAGAAAAGTGCTCGATGGAAATCTGAATGGAAAAAGACTCATAGGAAGACCACGTCAAAGATGGTTCGATACCGTG